TCAGCACCTGTGCTGGCTCCGCCTTCTGTTGCCTTCCTTTAGGTCTGTGGTGCAGAAATCTTGGCACTCAGAAATCTTGGTTGAACGACTATGTGGAGCTGCAGTGTCTGGTGGACCCTGAAAGCAGCACTGTGCTCAAGGTGAGACCCACTGATTTTGAGTTATCTCCCACTTACTTAGACACCATGTATACCAGTGGTGTTCAACTTTGCTGTGCATAAGAATCACTTGGGGAACTTTTAAAAAAATCTGTAGGCCAGGGTACTATACAGACCAAATGCATTCCCCTGCTCTGGGGATTTTAATATGCATTGAAGGATCAGAAACACAACCAAATATCCCCTCTGAGTGAAAAGCATTGTTGCTGATCAAACAATATTGTCGTCTTGAACTGCCCTTGTGGAGTTGGTGGTGCAGGCATTCTTTCTGTGTGAACCTGCTCATGCTGTACTACAAGGCAGTATAGAAGGATGTGGGAGGTGTGGAGGAGCTCGGGGGACTGGGGAAGAAGAAGTCAGAGAGGGGAGAGGAACCAGGGAAACAGCACGGCAGGGTCACCAACAGAGGGGCCTTCAGAAGTGTGAGTTGGTCATCAGTACCTGTCACTGCCAGATGCCGTGGTGATTTAGGCATGCTGAGGAGCTAGAAGAAGCCAGAGGGTGGCACTGAGTTTCAGCATATGGTGTTTGGAAGACAGTGTGTGAAATAAGTAAGGAGTAGGAGCCTGAAAACCTGAAAGTGGTGAGTATTGACAGAGGTAATCGACTGGTGGCGCATGTGCCTCACAAATGTGCTTTGAATGACCTTCACATAATTGTCCTTCAAAGCATTCAAATGCTACAGAAATAGCTTTCAACATTTATAAATTGGGAAGTTTCATATAAAACATAATTTTTTATTTCTCTTGAAAAAACTGGGAGATCTGACACTAAGTGTTTGCTTTCTTTAGGCAATAATTGGTCATCTACCTTAGAAATAACTGCTTTCTTGGTTCACCACACAGTCCTGTCCCTGTGGTTATGCTGTCCACTCAGCTCATTTCTCTCATGTGCCTGAGCTCCCTGGACTCCGTAGGGAAGTGAATTTAAGACTTGGACTTGATGCAAATATCTGTTAGGTGGTGTGGAAGGGAGAGGAGGGGCCCTGGGCTCCTTTTGTAGGTGTTGAAGAGGAAACCAAAAGCCCTGAATGGCATCCCCTGTGTTAAAGCCCATACCCAACTTAGGTTTAGCACCTGACTTAGTGGCAGTTAGGGCTGGTGGCTCAAACGGTAAAGCGTCTGCCTACAATGTGGGAGAACTGGGTTCAATCCCTGAGTCAGGAAGATCCTCTGGAGAAGGAAATTGCAGCCCACTCCAGTACTCTTGCCAGGAAAACCCCATGGATGGAGGAGCGTGGTAGGCTACAGTCCATGGGGTCACTAAGAGTCGGACACGACTGAGCCACTTAACTTTTCACTTTCACTTTTAGTGGTAGTTTCAACCTTCCCCAGAACAGAACCTTAGTCAGCCCACCTGGAATATTCCGATCAGCATCAAGGAGGTAATCTGTCCTGTGGGCCCTCTCTATTGCCCGCTCCTGCCTCCCAAAGGAAGAAGACACAATCTGCATTATAGACCTCTACTCTTCCCTCAAAAGAAGGTGACCTGGCTTGAAACAGTCCTTTCTTTTCTTTTGCTAATAGCTTCTTGCCCCACCCTCCTGCTTGTAAGAACCTCCAGTTTGTGTATAGCCTTTCACTTGTTCAGTCGCTCAGTCCTGTCCAACTCTTTGCGATCCCATGGACTGCTGCATGCCAGGCTTCCCTGTCCTGCACCATATTCTGGAGCTTGCTCAAACTCATGTCACTTGAATCGGTGATACCATCCAACCATCTTGTCCTCTGTCATCCCTTCTCCTTCTGCCTTCAATCTTTCCCAGCATCATGGTCTTTTCTAATGAGTCAGCTCTTCACACCAGGTGGCCAAAGTGTTGGAACTTTGGCTTTAGCATCAGTTCTTCCAATGAATATTCAGGGTTGATTTTCCTTTAGGATGGACTGGTTGGATCTCCTTGCTGTCCAAGGGACTCTCAAGAGTCTTCTCCAACACCACAGTTCAAAAGCATCAATTCTTTGGCACTCAGCCTTCTTTATGGTCCAACTCTCACATCTATACATGACTACTGGAAAAACCATAGATTTGACTATATGTATCTTTGTTGACAAAGTGATGTCTCTGTTTTTAATATGCTGTCTAGGTTTGTTATAGCTTTTCTTCCAAGGGGCACTAATGCTGAAGAAACTGAAGTTGAACAGTTCTGTGAGGACCTACAAGACCTTCTAGAACTAACACCAAAAAAAGATGTCCTTTTCATCAAAGGGGACTGGAATGCAAAAGGAGGAAGTCAAGAGATACCTGGAGTAACAGGCAAGTTTGGCGTTGGAGTACAGAATGAAGCAGGGCAAAGGCTAATAGAGTTTTGCCAAGAGAATGCACTGGTCATGGCAAACACTGTCTTCCAACAACACAAGAGAAGACTCTATACATGGATGTCACCAGATGGCCAACACTGGAATCAGATTGATTATATTCTTTGCAGCCAAAGGTGGAGAAGCTCTGTACAGTCAGCAAAAACAAGACCAGGAGCTGACTGTGGCTGAGATCATGAACTCCTTATTGCAAAATTCAGACTTAAATTGCAGCAGGTAGGGAAAATCATTAGGCCATTCAGGTATGACCTAAATCAAATCCCTTATGATTATATAGTGGAAGTGACAAATAGATTCAAGAGATTAGATCTGATAGACAGAGTGCCTGAAGAACTATGGACAGAGGTTTGTAACATTGTACAGGTGACCAAAACCATCCCTAAGAAGAAATTCAAAAAGGCAAAGTGATTGTCTGAGGAGGCCTTACAAATAGGTGAGAAAAGAAGAGAAGTGAAAGACAAAGGAGAAAGTGAAAGATATACCCAACTGAATGCAGGGTTCCAGAGAAAAGCAATGAGAGATAAGAAAGCTTTCTTATGTGAACAGTGCACAGAAATAGAGGAAAATAATAGAATGGGAAATACTAGAGATCTCTTTAACAAAACTGGACATAACAAGGGAACGTTCATGAAAAGATGGGTACAATAAAGGACAGAAATGGTGTGCACTTAACAGAAGCAGAAGATATTAAGAAGAGGTGGCAAGAATACACAGAAGTATGCAAAAAGATCTTAATGGCTCAGATAACCATGATGGTGTGATCATTCACCTAGAGCCAGACATCCTGGAGTGCAAAGTGAAGTGGGCCTTAAGAAGCATCACTACGAACAAAGCTAGTGGAGGTGATGGAATTCCTAGCTGACCTATTTCAAATCCTAAATGATGATGCTGTGAAACTGCTGCCTGCAAATGTGGAAAACTCAGCAGTGGCCACAGGACTGGAAAAGGTCAGTTTTCAAGCCAATCCCAAAGAAAGACAATGCCAAAGAATGTTCAGACTACCACATAGCTGCACTCATTTCACAGCCTTTCAGAGTGCCCTTCTGTTTTCTAGATGGGATGCTTCCCAGTTTATGAATGGCTGAATAAAGCCGATTAGATCTTCAGATTTACTTGGCTGGATTCTTTTTCGGCAGAGGTGAAGCGGGAGAAGTCCATGTTGAGGCTGTTGTGGGGAGTGGATAGCAGGAAATTGGAGCAGGTAGAGGGGAAGGTGGAGTAAAGGAAGAGCTTCTGGGGGTTGGTCTGGAAGAAGAACACAGAAGTGGGAAGGAAAAAGAGGATGTTTGAAGACAGAAAATTTGGGGAGAAGAGGAAAGAATATGAGAGCCTGTTAGTATCACAAGTTCATCACCACTAGTTAGGCAGAGGACACGGCAGTGTGTTTGAGCAGTATGGAGAAGATTTGGAGCAATCATAATAGGAATAAAGGAAAGGAATTTAAACTCAGGATGGGGAGTGGGAAACTGGCCCTGAAAAGTACTCAGCATATAAGGATTTCTGATGACTTATTTAGAAACAACTTTTCCTTATTGATTTGAGACAATAGTTTTAAAATAGAAAATTATCTTTTGTAGCTTTTGGAGTCATGTTATTTTAAAACTCATCATTTTAAAATATAAAATTTCAGGGGCATTAGGGATAAGTTCCATATAAACCATTAGCATAATAAAGCTTATTTACATTTTATGGTAACTCAATTATATGTTGCAAAGTTTTCTGTTCCATTGTTTTTCCAATGGTAGCACCATTTTATTAAATCATGTAAAGAAGTGGTTTAAAAGCACTTCTGCCAAAATATTCAAATGTTGTGATTCAAGCCAATATTTCTGTTTGACTGAACCCTTTCAGATAATATAAAAGCCATTTATATTTATTGAATGGAACAAATGTTTGTTTCTTAGGGAAATTTTTTTCTTTTTTTGTTATTCAGTTCTGTTTATTTTTAGAGATGGAAGGCATTATATAAGCTGAAATGGTATTGCATCAAAATTATCCTTCATCAGTTTGTTTTATACCACTTATTTTTAATTGATGCTGGCAGCTCCTAGGTTGCTCACTGGTAAATTTGTTTTGCTGACTTAAGTATTTGGAGATTGTTTCATGGAGTCTGGAGAGCATTACAAATCCTGAACTTGTATTTTAGGAGATCATGGCTTATAGAAAAGTGGGAAGGTAAAGAATAGTATTGTTTTATTGAAGACTTTATAAGTTAGGCAGAAAATAAATTTTCATATTAAGAATTTACATATGTGTGTTTTGTATACTCCTTAGAATTGTGTTACATGACTTTTTGTACCATTTAATTTTCTTCACAAGGAGGGAAAATTTTCTATGCTTAAAAGGCAGTCTTATAAATTAGTTAACTGAATTATATAATGTGAGGGATGCTGAGTGTTGGGGTTTGAAGGGGTCAATCTGTTCATTACATCTCCCAGCTGAGTTTTGAATCAACTGGGAAACAGACACAAGAAATGGACACTGAGGAAAAAAAAAGCAAAACAGGACTAGACTTAGATGTGGGGCCAAAATGGGCTTCCTATTCCCCTTTCTTCCAAGTGTAGCTGGTGAGGCCTTTGTGGTGGACAGATTGTGCCTACAGAGCGGTTTCCCTGCTGTCTTCTTGAAAGACCGTGGCCCAGCGCACACCGAGAGGCCACTGGCGGCCTTGCATCACTACCTGCCCAGCAGTGAAGAGTGGACCAAAGACGTCAGGCTCTCAGCACAAGTCACAGGAAGTTGGTCCTTCTCCCGGAAGCCACTGGGTAGGATCCAGATAGCTACAGTTTCCACAGCTAGAGCAGAAGTTCTTACTCTGAGAGCCTGCAGAATCTGAGGACATAAAAGGAAGGTTCCACTTATACTAGGAAACTCCGTTCCCACATACCTCTAACCAAGTGCCACACTGCACAAAGTTTTACAGTTAGGAATCATTTATCTGGGTTATTTCTTCTTAGTCCTGTGATTTATTGAAAATGGATATGATGGAAAGAGAAGGGCAGTTATACATAAAGTCATGAGAAGCACCATATTATTTATCAGCTAGCTTTTAACGTGTTGAGAGAGGATAATGTAGCATGAGACAAGAAACTGCTTTATGTCTTTTCCCCTTCTTTCTTCCTCTTCTTTTCTACTTCCCTTTCTCACTGCCACTGATGAGGCAGGTAGCAAATCCATGAACCTAAAGCCCAAAGTTCATTTCTAGACTTGAGTAACTGGGCCATGGTATAGTGAGGCTTTTACTTTTGCCTGATTACATAGTTGCCCGTAAAAAAGGACAAAGATGCTTTGTTTTTTAACTTGTGAAAAAATGTCACTTTATGAATTTGTTGCCCAGATTTTAGTTGACAAAACATGATCTGGTGACTACACCAATCACTCACAAATGATGCTCAGTTGAACTCAGACTTTTCTCCTATCTGATCTCCTGGGTCCAGATTGTGGTTTAGTCGCTAAGTTGTGTTTGACACTTTGTGACCCCATGGATTGTAGCTCACCTGGCTTCTCTGTTCGTGGGATTCATAGGCAAGAATGCTTAAGTGGGTTCCCATTTCCTTCTCCAGGGGATTTTCTCAACCCAGGAATTAAACCTGCATTGGCAGGTGGATTCTTTACCTCTGTGCCACCAGGGAAGCCTGGCTTCCAGACTAGCCTCCTCCAATTCCTCTTCCATAGTTCACCAGGGAAAGCTACTAAATTATATGGAAAAGCAAGAGAAGGCTAATTACAAAGTTCAGATGGATACCTTGGGGTGGGTATGTGGGAGTGGTCAGGGGTGGAGATTGGGGAGGTCTTATGGTGCCTCAGAGGCACTGGTAGAAATTTTTAAATTACATGTTAAATACAAAGTGAAAGTAAAGTCGCTCAGTCGTGTCCGACTCTTTGCAACCCCATGGACTGTAGTCTACCACGCTCCTCCATCCATGGGATTCTCCAGGCAAGAGTACTGGAGTGGGTTGCCATTTCCTTCTCCAGGGGATCTTCCCAACCCAGGGATCGAACCTGGGTCTCCCGCATTGCAGGCAGATGCTTTACCGCCTGAGCCACCAGGGAAGTCAAGCTCATTCATTTTTATTGATATATTTCTACTTTTCACCAGTATTATTTATACCTTTTTATAAATATTTCATCATTTGAAGTTATAAAACTAATTTAAATTATGAATATGAATCTTACCATTTATATTGTGCAATGCCAGTTTTCAGTGCATTTAACTCAAAATGGAAGCTCCAAAATGGCATAGTTTTATTTCATATATGTATATGTATTTTTTTTTTAGTAGATTAGTGGACATGTTGTATAAAATGAACTCAATTGTTTTCATTTCACTTCTTGATACTGTTACATTCTGCCAATGCTCTTCAGCTTACTGATGAGTAAGGAAGAACTGGAAGGGAAGGGAATTATGGGTTTTTTCCTTCTGTGTCATCATTGTCAGTGAGTTTGTCTATGTTTGGGGTGGCCTTTCTGTATTCTGGTGGTCTGTGGTTCCTCTTTATTGTGGAGGTTTCTCCCAGTGGGTGGGGCTGGACAATTGGCTTCCTGGTTAGGGAAGCTTGCGTCGGTGATCTAGTGGGTGGAGCTGGATTTCTTCTCTCTCTTTTCGAAGACAGTGGGCTGCTTTTCTGGGTGCTGATGTCCTCAGCTAGCGATCAGAAGTTGTTTTGTGGAGTTCGCTCAGCGTTCACATGATCTTTCGATGAATTTGTGGGGGAGGAAGTGGTCTCCCCGTCCTATTCCTCTGCCATCTTAGCTCCTCTCAGTGAGTTTGTCTGATAGAGGGAAGTAACTCATGTACGAGAGAATATGATGAAGTTCTTCGATCTTGTTTTGTAAAATGCTGCTGCCTGCCTTTTGCACTGAAGGTAAGCCCTGGCTAGTACGGAAAACATGGCCTCTTGCGGTTGTCATTTATTCTGTTTTAAATACAACATACTTACTTTGTACTCACTTTGAATCTCATAGAATTGTCACACATTGTAGGTCCACTGGAATGCTATGCTGATGGGCATCACAAGTGCTATGCAGAAAATGAAGTTTGTATTTCTTCTGCTCATGTGCATGGTCATTGTCCCATTGGGCTTCTCTTACGAAACACAAGTTCAAAGGTAAAATTATTAAGAATTTCAAAATGGCAAGTACAGAACACTAAACCAAACCTGTTTAAATCTGTTGAGCACAGGGCCTTTGTGACTGAAGAGGTTATACACCTGGATCTGCTCTTAGTCCTGATGACAATTCTGATTGGCCCAGGTTGGGTCAGGCATGGATCCCTGAACATAGCCCTTGGTCCAGTGTATGGAGCACTCTGATTGGCCAGGCCTGGTTCACCTGTCCACAAATGAAGCCAAAAACAAGGTATTGTCAGCTTTCCCAGCTAGGAGTAGGAGGGGAGTGCTTCCTCAAAAGATCCAACAATAGGCAAACAACAGATATTAACTGTTGCTCTACATCTGTCTGCTTCACTTTCATCTCCTGCCCCTGTTTTTAATCCTTAAACACCCCACTGTGTTGCCTCAGGGACCTTTTCATCATTCCTAAAATATCCCAGGTTCTGGCATGACTTTGCTTTTGCAACACATTCTTCTTCTTCTTGGAACATGTTTCCTCTTCTGGAAAACTTTTACTAATTCCTTAACACTCAGTTCAAATTCACTTCCTTTGTGGAGTCTCCTCTGACTTCCTCTGGCAGAATAGTTTCTCACACCTTAAACATTTACGGTTCTTTATTTGTTTTTGAGTCACAGCACTGGCGTGTCTATTCCAAAGCATCTGTATTCTTGTCTACTTCTCTTCCTATACTCTGCACTCCTTGGGAGCAGGGACTGTCTTATCCTTTTTTTCAGTGTTCAGTGTAAATAAAGCAAATGCCTGTTACATAGTAGGTTTTGGATAAGTGGTGAATAAAACACAATGAAAAGATGATGTCATAAATAATATTTTCAAGCTGCCTTCTCTAATATTAAACTGGTATCCCCAAAAGGATAAGTGAATCCTGTGTTTGGGATATCATTGGGAGCATAAGAGAATTTTCAGTTTCTTTTTTCTCAAGTACTGGGCTGTTTTCTGGATAAATGGAAGCATCTCCTGGTTGAAAACTCTCAGAAGAGACGAATTAAATGCAAAACTCAGAGAAGTAACATTTTTTAATTCAGATAAATTTCCAAGAGTCTTTTCCTAAGATCAAGCATGCTGTCTGGGGATCAGTCCTTGATTACTGTCTGCTGACAAGCAGTAGACACCATTTTCCTCCTTGCTCACTGGGCAGATCAGCTGGGGTTTTGGGAACTCAAGAGCTACATGTGTTGCAAATATGAGAGGTCATGCATCACCTCTTATCATGATACTCGTCCTCACATAATTATGCTCTATTGTAGTAGCACTGGCTAGAGGTGCAGGAAACAAATGATATGACCCTGTTCTCCCCTTGAGATCCCCTTTCCGGTTCCATGTATTTAGAAGCTCCATTCCAGCACATGTCAAAATGAAGGAGCTGCTGCTCAAAATTCTGCCTTTGGAAAATTTGCTCCAGGGAAGGAGCAGCCATTGGAACAATGTAGGCAATTTCCTGATGTTAGAAACAGGCTAAGCTGAAAGTGTAGAAAGCCCTCTCGAACTTAATACATGCAATTCTTGGACTCCAAACAAGAAGGATAAAATATGGAACTAAAATACACATGATGAAATTGGCAACAATTAAAATTATATCAAAATAAATTAAAAATCAGTCAATTATTCATAAGAAAATGATGTGAATTAGTATAAAGAATAAAACAATAAAAAGAAATATGATCATGCAGAACTGTGAGAAGAAACCTCTATTGTCTCAATATCTCTGTTTTCTTGGCAAAATCTTGATCTATTTCTGCCCACTATACTTTAGGTTTAATCTTTAAATCTTGACTGTTTTCCAAGGAAATGAAACATATACAGATCATTTTTATGCAGTTGTACTTAAAATATTGTTTTTTTCTGGATAAATCACCCTACTAGCTATTATTTTCAGTTTGACATTGTATTAAAGTTTTGAAGTTGTTTTCTATTGCTCCATATTGTTGAAAACAAGCTGATAAAAGAAAACCTTAAATATAAACTGAAATGCAGTATATAATTGAGAGATTGCTGGAATTTTAAAAACATATAAAAATTGAGCAAGTCATGTGTGGGCTCCCATATTTCTAGTCCTGAATACTTTTTTGTCAATTTATTGATTCATAAAATGTTCACCATCCATCATACCTATAAGAAAACTGTAAGCTATGATAAATGCACCTTGTAAGCATTATATTTTATTGGTCAGGATGCTGTATCATCATAGAAAAATTAATCACTTAAATCAATATTGAATTGAGATATATGGTTAGGATATCTAAAAACACTCTGTCTCTAATCATTATTTGGTGGTATTTCTAATCCTGCAAGAAGATGAATGTCGTATTAGCTAATGACATCTGATTCAGGGCATCTTATAACTAACAGCTCCCAAGGAGAGAAAGTCCACTAATGGAGGTTGTTATTAAAGGGTAAAGGAAAGAATATGACACAAAAAATTAAAGGTGCCAGAAAAAATGGGCTTTAAATTGAGAGTAATGAATGTGAAGTTTTGCTTTTGCATGGCAACAATAATCTGTCACCTCCCACACCCTTCTTGGATGAAAAAAACTAATTGGTCTCAGAGATAACATCTGCTAAATGTAGTGTCAGAATAACAGGTGGTTAGAAATGTGTTTAAAAAGCACCTTAATTAAATTGATACCCATGCGTT